AGCCAAAGCAGGCGCTGTCATAACTGGAACCAACCGGCCAGACGACTGTGTCTTCTGGATCCGGCACAAACACTAGAAAGTCGGGGCCCATGGTGTGGTTTACAATAAAGCTCTCCACTTTCTCTTGCATGGCTGTGATTCGGCCCCGAGGTACCGTGCAGTAATAGGGGGTATTTAGCTCTCGGTGAGAGGCGGATGGCTCCGCCCAATTGTCCCCCTTCTCAACTGCGTGAGAAAGTCTCGCCTCTTGCAGACGGCTGTTTTTCTCTTCTGTGTCCAAAGAAGCATGGCCAGAAGAGCTTGATTCGGAATCGTCCTCTGACGAGTCCGAAGAGGACGACTCCTCTCCTCTCCCGGAGGGCCCCGCCTCCTCTCTTTGAAAAGGAGCAGATTTGTGAACTGTTAAATGGGAAGGGGTCACTATGACTCCTCCCTCAGAATTGCCGGCTTTCAGGCCGCCTTGTTTCACTTCCACATCTGGCGCCTGGTCAGATGTTTCACTAAGCGGCACCCTGTGGGAGGAGCCGTCTGAATTTGAGATCCTAGCAGTCTTTTTCGTTCTGGCCATCCTGCTCTGCATAGACACAAATACAGTCGGACTTTGTATAAAGGGCAAAGATGGGTCCGGAAAAGGGCAGGCGGCACTCCTAGTCCTAGATTCAGCCGTCCCCGGTGACCGGCTGATCACTAACCTAGGTCGTGTCGTGTGCTTCCGTGGTGCCATTTCAAAAAATAAAAAGAAAATTAAGAGTAAGAGAACTGAGTTACCTGAACGAGTGATGGTTGATGAAGTTCTGAAAATCCTGTGCAGGCGGCTTGTCAGAACAGGCGGTAGGCAGAAAATGTCCGAAATGTCAGAGCAAGTTCAGGGGTCCGAATGTTCTCAAAAAGTTCTCAAAGTGTGAAAATGACTCAAGACAACTCTCCCTTATATAGGCGAAGTGAGAAGGCGAAGGGTCACTTTAATAATTCAAAATTTGGGCGGGAAAATCTCTCGTCCTTTCGCCGACTGACACCTGTGGAAGGTCGCCGCCTGTTACAGTGCGACACCTGTCACAGGTAACACGTGACCAATCACGTGCCACCTGTGAGGGGCAAATGATTAGGGGATTTTGCTCCCACCAATCGGAATGCGCCACGTGGGCCAAACAGGTCCTGCCAAGTGTCCCCCAGTTCGTCCACCTTGGACCTGTTATGTCATGACATGTGGCATACTCCATGCCTAATGGGGAAACCGGCCACCCAGGCCCAACTTCCGAGGGAAGCCTAATCGGCCCTAGGTTAACCTAAACCTAGGATGGGCACGTTTCCCAAGGTTATAAATACCTCCCTTAATCCTCATTAAGGGGGATTACGAAACAGAACGGAAAAAACACATTAATTACACACAGTAATAACCGGCTGATCTCGCTAACAAAGCAGATTACCTACACTAAACACTCTCACCTAGAGAGACCCAATCACTTTAATTTCCGCATTAATTACTCCTTAATCAAGTACTAACTTGACCGTTGGAGGCGGAGCTCCCAGGAGTCTCTGTTATTTTGCAGGTACAGGCGTCCGGATCCAGTCTCGGAATTGTAACTCTCCCGCAAGACATCAGAAAACCCCGAAACAATAGGCATCTACAATTGACAATTAACGATAATGAAAACAAAATTAACAAAATCAAACAAGAATTAATCGGGGAAGGGCTAAGAATCCAAATACATAAATTTAACAATTCGGTACATTCTTGATTCTTTGTCTCATACAATTTTTGAGTGGATCCGTCGCCGCTTCACAATTTTATGAGATAGTTAATTCTTATGCTGATTCCGTAACTCGAATTCGAGCCATTATCAATTGTAGCCCCGCACAACTGGAGACCAAATTAAACACAAATAAAACCTTGTCTTTCGATGGAGTTCGAAAAACCTTGTCTTTCGAAGGAGATCGAAAAACCTTGTCTTTCGAAGGAGATAGACCCTTTCTTTCGAGGGAGACATTATTATTATAACCTATGAAACAAAAAGCTTAAAAGAAAATAAAGATTGGGGTTTTCTACCGGTAAAATCTGATGGAAGCCCTTTCAAAATTTACAATGGAGGCTAGAGTTTAGGAGAGAGAAGAGAGAGAGGAGGCTAGGGTTTTTCAGGTATTGTAATAATAATAAAAAAAAAACGATACTTTTAGTTGACTAAATTAGTAATCTGATTTTGATCCATACAACTGTTAGGGATGCATATTAAATACATTTCCTAAAATGGTATAAGTTTGAGAATTATAACAAAATCAAGCGTAAATCGTTGTTAATCATTTAGTAAATCTTAATTTTTTTTTAGTCTTCTTATTATAATGGTCTTATACTTCCTCCGTTCTTTTTTTATTGCGCCATGAGAGATTTCACACTTACCAATACATTAATTTAGCTATTAATATCTTTTATTTTACTTTTGTGAAAATTATAAAAATTTGATATTTGAAAAGTAAATTTCTAGACGAATCTTACTAGATCCTATATAACTATGTTTTTCCTAATGGATAAATCATAAATGATAGTCAAAGAAGATTAAATTAATAGTGTAAAAGTCCTTATGGTGCGATAAAAGAAAAACGGAGGAAGGATATCATTTTCCTCTACCTATTGTGTTTGACTTTGTTCTCGTCACCTCCGAGTAATAATATTCAGTAAAAAATAATTTAAGATCATTGACTTAAATTTTGATCCAGTAAAAATAATTTAAATTTAGTAAAAATAATTTAAGATCAATCACTGAACTAAATTTTAATATAGTAAAAATAATTTCAATTCATTTAAAAAGTTACGAACTTTATTTAACAATTTTTATAAAAGCGATGATAACGAAAATATAATTTCAATCTAAGTTTAAACCAATAATTTAAACTTAGTAAAAATAATTTTAGTTTAATAAGCTAAATTCTAATTTAGTTAAAATAATTTCAATTTATTAAAAAATCCGAACTTTATTTAACAAATATTATGAAAAATGATGATAGGCTTGTAATATATATACTCCCTCCGTTTCTTATTTCTTGCAACATTTGCCATTTTTGGATGGTTCATATTTTTTTCCTTATTTAGTAAATTTTTAAAGGTAAATTTACCATATTACCCTTGCTTATGTACCATTAATTTGATAAATGACCCTAATAACCTATTTGTAATGACATTGTTAAATTATCATCAACTGATAATCATTCCCACCAAAAAAAAATCATCACCTTTTTATCTCCCCTCTATTTTTATCCAACTGATTCTTGAACAAAATTGTTCATCTTCCCAACCACTTCATTCAATTCATCTCTAGTTTTTTCACCAAACTGCATTTACTCCATGGCTTCCTCGTCTCTCTCCTCTCCCTTTAAAATCGAAAGTTTCTCTCTCCTGTTTTTTTTGGAACCCTAGTTCATTTGCTGTGAATCGCCGCTTTCTCTCTCTTCCTAACTTTCCACCTTACTCCCCTTCTAGATCTATCGTTTTTCCTTAGTCACAATATGAGTTCCTCTGAAAAAAAAACGATGCTTCGTTGTTTTGCTTTGAGAATCTTCCCCTGAAACACCCAAGGATGACCTCCCTCCAAGTGCGACTCGATACATCTGTGAGAGGGGATCTGAGAAGATCAAACCCTTGTGGCGCGTTAGGATGAGGCTGCTCTCCTGTAGGGTTCGCCGTGGTGCGAAACTTGATGTACCTTATGATGATGAGAGATGAGGTTCAGTCTGAATTGGCCGGAAAAACCCTAAAGAACCCTATTGAGGTGATAGATCTGGAAGGGGAGACTGAAGGCGAGGGATCTGTGAATGGGGAAGCTGCTGGGTCTTCCAAAGGGGTGCTGAAAGAGTCCCGTTCTAAGGCGGTGATCGAAGGCGGTGAGTCCGTCACTGCCAAACAGCAGAAGAAAGGGTCCCTCTCAGGGATGAAAAGGGTGAGATCTGGGCTGCCTGTTGATTAGGAGCTTCTCTGTGATGAGGATTACATGGATTTTCTAAGGGATATGCACCCTGAGTGGTTCTCTGACAATTAACCCTGCAGCGTATAACCTTTATTCTCCTCAATTCATGTTTATTTTGTTCTCCATTTGTTTTATTGTCGCTGCTTTACTTGCCTTTTGAGTCCCTGCATCATTGTTGTCTTAATATGGCTTGTGGTAATCTCTGTGTTGGTTGGTTTATCATTTTGATGATGTTTTTATTCTCTGTTATGGTATTTGGTTTGTTAGTAGTCTCTGTCTTGGTTGTTCTGTGATGCCTTGAATGTTGGTTTGATAATGGCCAAGGGATTGTTATGTTGATGAATGATGAAGTCTTATGATATATTGTTGGTGAAAGTGTGTTCTTTGTGACTTTATGCTATTAAGAGTCCCACTCTTATGCACAATGACTGCCTTATGGGATATCAATCTATGTTTCTCTGTGTTTCAGCAACCCCCCTTTATGATTGATGGTGTTTTGGCTACCCACTGATTTTAATTGCCATGCTATTCTGTTGCCTTATGATGTTTTGCTGTGAAGAGTCCCATCCTATGTATGTTTGGGTTAGTCCCATCCTAGGTTTTGTGTGATTAAGCCTTAGTAGATTGAGCCATGTGATGAAGGGACTCATTTGAATAATAGTTGCTAGTTGTAGCATTGCTCCATCAATGGCCATATGGCCCTGGTGTTGAGGTAACAACCCTAGCTCAACTGCTTGATATATACATACCCTTGCTGATGGTAAATCAATCATTTTTTTGTTCAAAAGATGCATTCATATCATAATAACCAACAGCTTACCAATTACACCCATGTTTTCAAAATAACAATGCCCTAACTTTACATGACTACCTTACATGTGTTGCATTTAGTTGATCAAAATACACATAACCTAAGCATTACCTACAAAACATTGTAACATTTTAATAACAAACACTAATTTGTCAAGCTAGGTCAACAAAATACTATGAAGGTTATGTGTGGCAGTCATACATACTTGTAAGGGTCTTTGCATTTCTCTGTCTTCAGTCAGCATCAACTTCCATTTGTTGGTCATCTACTGCATTTGTTGTTGGAATGAACATGGTGTCTAGATAATTCACAGCTTGATGTATCAACTGCCTAGGAACATGTAGATGTTTAGGAAGTACACCTAACTTGTCAATCTTCTTCTTCTTCATATGAGGTGGTGAGAAGTTGTTTCCTCCCTGTTTTTCCAGGACCTTTATCATGACTGACTGTAATGTAAGCCATATATACTTGTTGGCCTTAGCCTCAAAAGCATTGTATGCATTGATCACCTCTTTGATTAAGTCATCCAAAGTTGTGGGGAAGGATTGATATTGTAGGGACTGAATGGCTTTGAACAACCCTAGGTTTAAGACATTCAAGTCAGGAGATTGAGCTGGTTGATACACCATTTCTATATTCAAACCATTAGCATGACATGTAGCAATGCATTCTTCATCTTTTGGAATTTGATGAGGCCTTGCATTGTCCCATTGTATTTTGACATTTTTTGGGACACTCTCTGGCCATTGTTGGTGTATTGCTGGGATGATGTGTTCCATTAGCATTTCTCTTATATCATCTTTGTTGACATTCTGTACAGCCTTAGTTTCCAATGTACCAGCTTCTTTGTTTTTGCTCTTTTTCTTTGTCATCTGTTTTTTGACAAATGGAAATATTCCATACTTTCCATCATGCAGTAGAGTCCCATCTCTTGCATAAATAGGTTTGCCTATCATTTCCATGAACATGGCCTTGATTAAACCTCTTTGACAGTTGACACCTGTAAGGATCTTCCTCTTTTGGAGGGAGATAGAATTTTCTGGTTTCAGGGTACAAGTAGAACCATTTTTTCATCTATGTGAATTACTTCTTGCATGTCAACAAACTTTGGGTCCCGTTGAGTTGGAATTGGGTTTATGTGACTTAATACCCACTTCAACCTTGCCACCTTATGATTGGATGTCAATGCAGGATGGTTTGTGCTTGTGTGTGACCTCAGTCTTCCTTTCTTCCTTAATCTGTGAATTGTTGAATGTGAAACATTCAGTGCACCTGCATAGCTTCTCTCTGTTGTTCTTTTGTATAATGGGACAGATTGCAACCATTCATCACAGTACTCTTTGGGTTTTGGACCAGTCCTTCCCAATTTTTTGGATCTGACATCAATGATATTCCCCTGGGCCATTTGCTTCTTAATGTCTACATACAATCTTGACATTGTTGATCTATGAATGTCATGCTGTCTTGCTTGTTGTGATAAAAAACCCCTTGGCAGATCACCTCCTTGCATTTTTAACAGAATGACATCCACTATTTGCCTTTTCTGTTCAATGGTAAGGTCTCTCCTCTTCTCTCCTTGTTGGGTTGTCTGCTGATTCTGTAAAATATGAGAGTATGCCCATTCTGCAGCATACTCATCCTCTGAATATGTACTGGACAGTGATGAGTCACTCGATAAAGCTTCTTGTTCTTCTTCTAGCAACTGTTCTATTGAAAAAAGTTCTTCCATATCCATATCCATTAACATATACTACCTTGTTCTGAACCAGGTCTGGCGATGGTGATGAAGTGGAGGATGCAACTTTTTGGACAACTCAAACGGAACCTGGTTTTTGAAGATTTCAAAATGAAGCCGCTGCCCCTAATTTAGCACTAATTAGATGTTAGGATGTAGGCTGGGTGTATTTATGGCAGTTTTTGAACTTGTTTAGTGCTAACTTTTGCTGATTTTAATGCTGAGATGCTAGGACAATATGTAAAATCAACCTCATGCAATTAGAGAACAACTCACACTACTAAAATTAGATTCCTCATTAGTCTAGCAATAGATGATACACAATCAAATTGCAATAAGTAATGACATACTCAATTTACATTCCCATGTCCAACTAAGCATATCATGCTATCAAGATCCTAAGTCAAGGGTAGCTAATCCTATCATGAAGAACTAACAAGCAATCTCATATAATCAATTTAATTGCAATACAAACATCAATACTTCTCCCACATTTGCATAATTAACCCAAAAGGTTGAGCTTCACCCAACCCCTAGCAAGAAGACTACTCACAACTCATGTTTATCAACATGCAAACAAGCTTCACTCGACCAAATGGAGCTCTTACTTGAGAAAGCTAAAGCCTCGCAAACGCAACGACATCCGAAGATATCCACCCACAACACAATCGCGATGGATCTCTTGCTTGGAGGTTAGCCAAGCCGAACCAAAACATTACTCGAGTAATTAATAAGCTTATAGGTTTTCTCTCAAGTGGAGATGCCTAATTGAGCTCTTACTCAAGTGAGTTTTCCCAATTCTCAAGTGGGATATTTATAGGGAAACGCAAGTGATAAATCCATTCTCCCATCACATTAGGTGGTAAATGAAAATGGTGGTGTAATGAATTTATGTGTATTGTTGTTTTTGCTGAGAACTATTTATATCCCCTCTTGCTTGGGGAAAAAGTAAGTGGAGGGAGATATTTGATGGTGGAAAACTGAATTTTTAAAATTTGGTGAAAATTTGAGAGGGAAAAGTACACCCTCCCAAAATCAGCCCATGTGAAAGTTAAAAAAAAAAAAGAAAAGGTGGTCCCTTTTACTTCCCTCCTTTTTTTAAACTTAATCACATGCTATATCCCCTTAAAACTTTTGACTTGAGAAATGTGCAACCCCCCTTTGTTGCAAGAAATAAGAAACGGAGGGAGTATATATATGTATATATATATTATTATTATTATTATTATTATTTTTTTTTTTTTTTTTTTTTTTTTTTTTGGCAAACACTTGTAAGTTGTAATATGTAGATTTTCCTTAATCCAAAGTCTAAAACCCTGAACCCTTCAAAACACCTAATCTCTCTTCTTCTCTTTCTCTCCACTCCAACGCCTGCAACAAGTAGGCGGTTCTCCCTTCTCTCTCAAACACCCATGTCTTCCTTTTAAGTAACATTCTTACTTTTCCGATGCTATACTCTTCACTCTCTAATTAAAGTTCCAATCTTTATTCTCAATTAATTAAGTGTAATGGTGTTAAACCGACTTCATCTGAGTTTAATGGCTTCTTCTTCCAATCCTGCTTCCTCCATTTTTGGACCCTCTTTCTTGACTAAGGTAAATCTCCCATTTCTTGCTTATTTCATCTTTTTAATTGTACTTATTAATTATAGAATATATGGGTTCTTTTTGTTTTAAGTGATTGTTGTTAAATTCATTCAATTTGTTTATTTTAAATTCAGTGGCATTAGATTGTAGGGTATTGGTTAATTGGTAGGAGCATTGGGATTTATAAAATTTGTAATTGATATAATGAATTGTTGGGTTTAACTTAAGATATGTAAATTTCTAACATGGGATCGATTTAGTTTATATCATTGCCGTTTCTAGCTCTGTGTAGAACATCTTTTAGTGATAATTCAATAATTCTACTTCAATTTGGATGATATGGGATTTTATTACTGAGGTTGAGGATTGTTTTTAATTTAATTTGCTGTTCAAATGTTATTGAAATGAGATTGTAAACATCTTTTGTTTGTTTGTTTTGCTTGATACCCTTATGTTGGAAGAGGGACTGTTGTCATATATGTGAGATGATTGATGTGAAGAACATATCAAATTGTTGTTTTTACCATTATAGTATATATTGTAATTATTCTTGGTTTAGTATAGATGGATTAATGTCATTTCCATCCTCTTGACACTGGCTTCTTGGTCCGAGCTGCTATTTGATTTTGATTTTGATTGTGCAACTAGGGGAGTTTGGGGAAAAATGGAAATTGATCCTTGAGATATCGGGAACTTGTATAGAGTCCATACATTTCTTTGTGTCCTTGGACCTTCTCTTCGGATGTTTATTTCTAGGTGTAAGTTTTCCCTAATTATATATATTTGAGGAATCATAATATAATGCCCGGAAGACATGGTAAGTGCTTATGAACAATTTTATCATTTGGGGAGGCAATCATATAAATCATATTAATGAAAATGTAGAAACTATGTATCTGCCCTAGTGCCCTTTACTCAATACTCATTTTATTACATTTTCCAAACCCATCATATTGAGAATTAGTACTTCCTCCGTTTCTTTTTAGATGACGCGTTCTATTGAGGCTCACACTTTAAGGAGCGGAGAGAGAATGTTAATGTGCTTAGCTTATTTAATGAAGTTTGTAGTGGGGTCAACTTAAAAAAAATTCCCAAAAAGGAATACGCGTCAACTAAAAAAAAAAAAAGGAGGTAATATAATTTTATGAAGTTATACCTTGTAATAGTTCTGTTCCTCCCTTCCTCACTTCTCATTTGGGTTATAATGTGAAATTTGACCAAGATAAATTACTGTAGTTGGACATGTGGCTGACGGTTGGACTAGAATGTATAACCATATAGTGCTGCTACCTATAAATTGGCATATGTCACGCTATTATAACATTTCCTTCTCTTTCATATATATGTTTGTTGATGTATTTCTGTGGAATCATTTGTTTCAGACACGATATAGCACATTACAGAGTTATGCAGCCACCTATTTCCCATGCACATCTGTGAGTGGTTGTCTTGTACATACGAAAGGATCATTGATACAGTTTAAAAAGGTTAGAGGAGCCTGTAAGATGATGGCTCAGCAATCACGATCTATCAGGTGTTTGGGGTCTAATAGTACCAGAGAACTTGTTGATGAATCAAAGAAGGGAAGTATAATTTGTTCTCTGTCATTACTTGGTTTTGCAAGTCATCCTTTGCCTTCTACTTCAAGATTTAGGATTTCAAGTAAGAGCATAAGACCTACATATGTTGCTTTTGCTAAGAAGATGCTCTCCACAAAGGCAATGCCAAAATCAGGTCTTGGTGATACAAGTACATGTGAGTCCACGTTTGTAAAGGATGGAAAAAGTGGTAGGAGTATACCAAAACCCATTGTTTCCGATAAACAACGAAGGCGGGTAAAAACATTTGCCTCTCATGGGAGTACTGAAGGTAATTCACTGAAAACTTTTCCTAGTCAGATGGTTAGGAAGAATTTCCCTGATCGTCGAGTGTCTGCCAGTAAAAATGTCAACTCTGTAAATTCAACTGAAGTGCTGGCAATAGATGGGCTTGAGAAAGCAGAGTCTGTACAGCCTCTCTCTGCTCCAAGTTCCGTTGACAGTAAAGCAGAGCCAAAGAGTGAAACAAAACCAAAGCAAAGATCACGAAACAAGAAGAAAAAAGATGAGCCATCTGTTGATACACTGTCTTCTTCTGATGCTGTTCCCTCAAAAGGGGCTAGAAGAACTAAAAGGCCAAATGGTCTGTCAACTGCTGAGGTATGATTTCTTTGTTCTTTTGGCTGAGAAAAATATTGTTAGCCAGGCCAATCTTTTTGACTAACACTGTAGTTTCGCAGAATAGTTCATCTGTTAGTATACCTAAGGAAGAGGTTGACCTTTCTGAATCACCTCAAGCTGTGCCTAAGAAAAAAGCCTCAAAGCCTAGGAAGAAGGGAAAATCTCTGAAACAAGTGAACTTAGAGGAAAAAATCAATGGTGCTTTGCATGAAACTGTGAAGGTGGTGGAGGAGGAACCTTCTGCCCGCAAGGCACCTCAGAAACCAAAATCACCGACTGTTAATGGCATCAAGTCAATTAAGTTAAAGCCATTGTACCCTCCTACTGGAAAATCTGTTTTGGTCGTGGAGTCCCTCACTAAGGCTAAGGTTATTCAGCATTACCTTGGTGACATGTATGAAGTTATACCAAGTTAT